CCCACAAAGGAAAACAAAGCAAACTAGGCAGAGTCAATGCTGAGGACCAGAATTCAGGCCCATGAAGCTTCCAAAGGGAAAATGTTTCTATGTGTGTAACTTTCAGGAGTCCACGCAAAGCACCATCTTATAGTTTAAAACATCCCTATTACTCACATTTTATGATTTTTAATTGAAGAGTGGCCGATTTTTCCAGTTTTTAAAATTCATTTTATTCATTCAACATCTTAAAGGACCTAGGGATTCCAGAGAAGTCAGGTAAAGGTGTTTTCTGCTTTTATTCAGACTCTTTTTTTCATTACTCACATAAATTATTATAATCAACCAGTTGATCATTGAAAACAATATTTTGTGATTATTTAATCATTTTAACTAATAATTTCATAAAACAACAAAAATGAGTCTTAATGAGCATCCACTCGTTTGATTCCCCAAGTTGTAAAAGATACCTTCTAAATAACTAAATAGCTACAAATGGCTTCTCTTCCATATTCAGGACTGCATCACCCTCTATTCCAAAACTACACACTTTAGTTTTATAATTTTATATTTCATCCCTTTTGTGTCCTCCTTCCCTTTTCAACAATGGTTATTTCTATTTTCTTTGCTTTGACTAGGGAAACTTATGACTCAGAGGAAAATAAAAGAAGCATTTTTAATGCACCTATAAACTTGGTTTCAATACATTATTCTCCCTAGACATTGCTGGATATGTGCTGTTTTAAGTCTGTTATTGGAAGGAATACATATATCAAATATAACAGTGAATGTCAAAATATCAAACAAATCTAGTCAAAGTGCCAATGTGATAAAGCTTTTGACCTTATCAGAAAATGATGACTATCAGTCAAGATTGTGATGGTGAATGAAAATAAAGAAATGACTCAAAAGTTCAAAAATGTAAATTCCGGATCCATTTTTAGGCGGCTGACTCCAGTGTGGTGGCTCAGGGAGCCAGGCGACCTGGATTCACATTATAGCTCTGTCACTTGATAGCTCTGTAAACTTGGGTAAGTTGCTAATTTCTCTGTGCCTCAGTCTCCTCGTTTGTTGAATGGGAGTAACAATTCTTGGAAACTCATAACATCACTGTATGGTGGGTGCCAGGCTCTGTTAGCTCTTACTATTTTGACCATTGTAATCGATTGTACAATCTGTCCTTAGACTTAATTTTTTATCATTCATCTCTCTACCTGCTATAGTTCAAGACTAGTTTTTAGGTTTTTATGTAATGTTTGTCTCTTATAACCTGAAAAATCCAGTCCTGATCCCACCAATCCCATTTAAGAATTTTCAAACCTGGTTCTAGAGGAATGATACCTATTCTTTGAAATTCAGGGACCCTGAATGGGTAGCTGGTTTGAGGGCGACTTTTTCTAATACACCTGGCCTCCCCACCTCCTACACAGCCCTTCCTTACCTCCTTTACTCCTCCATACCTTCTTCCTTCTGTTAATTACACCTCCAGCAAGCAGGGCTGCCTTTTATCAGTGGATACTCCCTGATCTCAAAAGGATAAATATATACATATACATGACAGGTGCAAAGACAATCGAGCTAAAGAACCTGCTTTCAGCTTCCTTGGGAATAGAAGGGTATTTGCTGTTTTTCTTTTCTATTAAAGCCCCGGCTTGACCTAATTTTTTCCCCCTCTATTCAAAATTAAACCTGGAAATAATACATTTTATTTTTTAGTTAAAAAACAAGAATAGAAAAGGGCTTTGTTTAGTAATGAAGGGAATGTAACCTTTATTGGATGCAAAGGGCACTGGATTCTATATTCATCTGGGTGCCAAATACCCTTCTGAGCTTTAAAAACTAATTATAGGAGGAGAGTGTGACTTTTCAGTCCTTTTGGCTCGAGCCATGTTCTCTGGCGCTCTAATGTGCTGCTCAAGGCTCTCTGTCAGCTCAACCACAATGAATAGCAATGAAGAGCATCCTTTCCTCCTGACTTGCTTTCAACTTCTAATCCAGAAGAGAATGTGACAGTTTAAAAGGAAAGAATCAATCAACATACAAAACAAAACAGATCGCAAAATGTAGTTCTCTTCTGTTAAAGGAAATATAATTTGTTTTCCAAGTCATGTCTACCAGCAAAAACATGAGCAAATCTTTGAGGCTTGTTCAGGAAAAACAAACACAAAAATAGAACCAGACACTATGATGAAATGTATGTAAAATTTAAAGACAGACAAAGTAAGCTATGAATATAGAAATCAGAATAGTAGTTGCTTTGAGGGAAGGAAGGCCGTTTGAGAACAGTAAAAAATTCCATATTTTAATCTGGGAGGGGGTTACAAGGGTATAATCATATTTATGTATTTCAGTGTGTTATACAATTAAGACTATATTTTACTTCACGTCTTCATGTAGATCACACCAAGAAAGCTAAGAAATGTTAACATAATTTGTTTTTCCTCCAAGTTTAAGATGGAAAGTGATACAATTCTTTCGTAAATTCAAGAGGAAAAAAAAAGGGTCTTATTCGTAGCTTTTCTAAATCAAAAAAGTGAGGTATACACAGACGTTCATCTCTGGCTCAGCAGTCTCTTCTAAAATAGAGCTAGAAACTGTTTCCTTTAACTTTATGCTATTGAAGATAACTAACACACCTGATTAAAAACCATTTGCAAGTATAAAACCCAATTCAAAAACTATAGAACAATAAGCTGAGGAACAAGAAAAAGGCACATATTTACTTAAAGAATCCTGCAAAGTTGGGAGAAATTGCTTCAGAAATAGCTTCTTAAACAACTATTAATGCTAATGGATATGGTTATATGAAATACTTAAAGAAAAGGGTGAGAATATGTTTGCCCTAGACCTTTTAAGAATCTGGGAAGGCTAATACGAAGGTAATTCAGTGAAGGAGTGAACCCTGTGCCCGGCCTGGCTTGTCTTAGGTCAGTTTACTTATTTGTACTTGAGGCTCAAGTTGATCAATCTCTTAATCCTCCTCACCTCTCCTGACAGGAAAAAAAAAAAAAAAATCAGGAGGATACACTCTCCTACTAAAACCATGATAATGTGATCTAAATTAAGGGAAGTATAGAGTGCAAGAATACAAAATTAAAAATTTTAGAATTTTAATTGATTTCAGAAGCTGAGATTTGGATATTTATTCAACACAATGGAAGTTTTAAAGGAAAACATCTATGTGACTTTTGTATAAGCAAAGGTTTCTTAATAGGGTACAAACGGCATGTCCATAAAAGGATTAATAAACTAGACTTACTGAAATTTTTAAAAGGTTGATAGTAAAAGACACTGTTAGGAGAATAACAAGGCAACATGTCAAGTGGGAGAAGACTGATCCATCCATAACAGAGTTTCACCTGATGTATGAATAACTCCCCAGAGTCTCTAGGGAGCAGACAGACAACCTATTTAGAAATTACTAGGAAATTATCTGAAACAACATATTATGAAAGAAATATCCAAATGGCCAAGAAATACATAAAAATAAATTGAAAGTTCTCATCATCTGTGAGAGAAATGCAAATTAAATAATAATGAGAGGGTTGGGATTGTGGCTTAGAGGTAGAGCACTTGCCTTTCACCTGTGAGGCACTAGGTTTAATCCACAGCACCATATAAAAAATAAATTAATAAACAAAGATAATGTGTGTCCATCTACAACTAAAAAATATTAATAATAAATAAATAAATAAATAACAATGAGATACTGCTACAAACCTACCAGAATGGATACAACTTAAAAGAATGAAAATGGCAAGTGTTAATGAAATGTGGAACAACTGGCACTTTCATATATCACTGGGAGAACATAAATTCTTACGACCAATTTTCTTTGGAAAACTGTTTGACAGTATGAACTAAAACTCAACCAGCAATTCTTCTATTGGCATATACTCATGGTCACCAAAAGACACAGCAGAATATTTATAGCTAACTACTTGTTATTGCTCCAAAATGAAAGCTAAACAATGCTCACCAACTGTAGAATGAATAATATACATACACACATTTCTGTACCTATGCGTATATACATACCACCACATACATATATAGTCATACATACACATAATAAAATATTTTCTAAAAAACCTGTAGTGCTTACTACACACAGTGGTCTATTCAAAGTAAAGAGAACCTATACACAATATGGATAAATCTTGCCAACATAAGGTAGAACGTAAGAAGCCTGTCATAAAAGAGTACATAACTGCATGATTCCATTTATATAAGGTCCAAAACCAGATTAAACTAGTCTATGTAGTTAGAAATCAGATAAGAATAACTTGGAGTTCTCAAGTTGCTATGTTTCATCTCTTGTTGGTAAAGTTGTGTTTCTTTTCTTTTTCTTCTTCTTCTTCTTTTTTTTGGTACCAGGGATCGAATCCACGGGTGCTCAACCACTGAGCAATGATGCCCTTTATAAAATTTATTTAAAAGTTTTGAGATAGACTCTTACTATGTTGCTTAGGGCCTTGCTAAGTTGCTGAGGTTGACTTTGAACTCAGCCTCCCGAGTCGCTGGGATTATAGATGTGTGCCTCTGCACCTCCCTTAAGTTCTGTTTGATTTGGATATTAGTTACAAACACATTCTGTTTCATCACCATGTTCACTAAACTGGCTTTGATATATGTACATTTCTATACATTTATTATGCCTCATACTATTGTGTGTACATGTAAATATGTGTGTGGTATACATACTCACATACACACATGTGTATGTGTATATATATATATATATATATATATATAGAGAGAGAGAGAGAGAGAGAGAGAGATACGTATGTACATATATATTTTTCTCAGTATATTGTATTAAATAAAAAGTAAACCATAGGTATATAAGAAGAGATGATATACTAAGAAATGATCAAGAGGAAATATAAGAAATCAAAAACACCCTAACCAGACTCCACAGGGCCAAGGAAAGAATCACGACCTTGAGGAGCTAAACATGTGTACTTTCCTCCATATGTTTATATCACTTAGAAAATAGATCTTAAAAAATAGATCTTTACCTTATGAAATCTTCTTCCTCTTCTCTCTTTGGCCTCAGCTGTTTGGGCTGAGCCATATTGATCCAGTTTGGTAGTGATTTCAAGAGTCTGCTGATATCATCATCTTTTGCCCAAGATGCACTGATGACAAGTTTTTCTTCTGACTGGACAATGCCCCTAAAAATAGCCCATAAAAAAGGTGCTTTAGCACAATACCTGGTATTCAGTTAGCTTTTTTTTTTTTTCATTTACCTTAGCTGCAGAAAAAGATATCACATCCATCTCTCTTATTAACATAATCCATTATCTGAGTAGGAAGCAGAAGCATCCATTAATAGGTCACATTATTGGGAGACATCATTTCTAGATTTCATTCTTAGTTTCTGAATTGTTGAGTAATCATGAAAGCAGATCATACTAATTAGTACTCCTTATCATAGTTAATCCCTTAGGATAAATAAATTGTGTGGTAGGTTAGGGGGTATCTTTCAAGAATATGTTCAATAAATAAAATAGGGATGATTGTATTTTTTAAAAATGCTGCTAAATGACAACATGAGTGGTACCTGAAAGGTGACAGAAGTGTTACAAAACATTATTCTCTGACTTCTTGGTTTAAACTATTAATTAGTTCTACTTTAAGTTTTTTTTTTTTTAACTATAGACACTCCTTTATTCAAAACAAATCTACCAACATAAATCTTTCTGTTGGGAGACAGAAAGAGCCTTTGATCATTGCTATCTCCAGTGGGCTTTATCTAGTGACCCAGAGTTGACAGGCTTTTAATAAGCCCTTTAATAGGCCGCTGGGTTCACTAGTAACACTGCTTTTACCAGAGTGTACCTGAAAATTCACCTTAAATATTCCATTTCAACTTAATTAAAAAGCTTCTTTTTCTGTCACTAAGACTGATTTCAATGGCCTAAAAATCCTTATCAGTAAAACTAGTGTTAGAAATGACATTTATTTATGAAGGAAGTGCTAATTAGCTGGATGCCCCCTAGAAGATGACCAAGGTTCCGGGAGGTTTCCCCATCCCAGGCAGAGATATCTTTTGTTGTGTCAACCTGGGAACATTATGCATTTTCAAGTAAATATATATATATATATATATATATATATATATATATATATATATATATATATATATATAATGTATTTACATATGCTAAAACTTCCTTGACCCAATTAACAATTTAAAGTTTGAAGACAAGAGAAGTTGAAGCCTCCAAACCTTGACTTAATTACAGCCTGACTTAAGGTAATGCAATAGTGCCTTGATTCTCTTAAGAATAGCTAGGATAAATAAGAGAACTGTATGTGATTTCTAGAATTTTTCTAACTCACTATAACTGAATGGTTTCTATTAGTTACCGTGGCCAGAGATAAAAATTTGAGTATAGAACCTTCTTCCCTCTATTCTCCCAAATTACTCTCTGGGTGTTACCTTTTATTCCCTCTTTTCTCTTGTTATTTTCTGGCATCTTTCTGCAACATTAAAGGATTAATTCAAAAATCTAACTTTAATAAATTTTATAATCATACTTGCATTGCTGGGTAAAGAATGGTACCACCGCAGATTTCTGACATCTCATTGCAGGTGGACCCTCATTCTTTTTATGTGTCTCTGTTCAGCTTCGTCTCTCCGTTTCTATAATGGATTTATAAACAGACAGCCATTTTGTTCTTTCTGAATCTCCACTTTGCTTATTCTCCTTATCCTTCCTATCTGACAGAGAAGAGGGGACCTACTAAATATTGCTAAATATTCTGCCTCCCATCTCCAACAGATAATATGTTCAAATTTGTTCCTCATTTATTTCAAGTAATTTCTCTACTTAGGCTCTGAGGATCTATAATTATCCCTTTTCCTTCCTATATTTTCAGTATTTTTTCAATATTTTCTTAAAAAAAAAAAAAGATTTTTTTCCCTTGACCCAACATTCTGCTCTACCAAAGCTCTTCTCTCTCCTCCAGATACTCATCAAATGGGCAGCCTGGGAACCCAGAGTTTTCCTGGTTCTATTCATGGTTAGAACAGTTCCTCTGCATAACTCTGCACAAATAAAGCTCCCTCTCTCCCTGTCTTGGAGGTGTTAAAATGCTAGTCCCCGTTTGACCTCCCTATATGATCTAATACCTTTGTGGCCTCTCAACTTCAACACTTGTTTATATGGCCTCTAATCCCTCTTTTGTTCATGACATCTGGAGAATTCTTTCTTCCTTTTGAATTTGGTTAGAGTTGGTTAGCTATTTGAAACACTTCTAAAGTTACACATTTTTATCTACTTTCCATATAAAAGGAGCAGGAAAAGGGCTTCCTAAAACTATTCACTCCATATTTTTGACAAGAAGTTAAAATTCAGTCTTAAACCAACTGTAAAAAGGGCTTTATAACCCAATTCCAGTGATGCTGCTTTACCAACCCACAGGCATGTTTTAATCTTCATACTCTTGACCATTCTGAAGCATCCAATATTTTTTTATCGCTCTTTTCCTAAAACATTATTCCTTTGCTTCCTATAATATCATTTCCTCCTGGTTGTATTCCTGCCATCCTAACCCCTTTCTTAGCTAAACTGATGACTCTTTTCCTGTATCTATACAGGACATGTTGTGTTTTGCAGATTCTGCATTCCTCACTTGGGCAATCTCATCTTCCTGCCAGATGTGACCAACCTGTATTCCGACAAATAAATTAATATCTCCAGGGCAGCCCTCTCTTCTAAGTCTGCGTATCCAAAGGTTTACTGGAAAATTCTGCTTGGTAGTCCCACCAGCATTTCAAATTAAAATGAGTCAAAGGAACTCATTTGCTTTCTACTCCTTTCTCTCCCACTAAACACCTGGTATCCCCTATTCAAGCCATGCTGTTGTTCAAGCCAGAAACACAGAGGCATCCTAATCACCCACAGTGATTACATCCTGCCAATTCCACCTCCTTACTATCTCATAAATCTGTCATTTCCTGTCCAGGTTCACTGCCATTAACCTATATTTAAACCTTCATCATTTCTCACTTGGATTTGGCAATAACCTTGTAATTGGGCTTTTTGCCTGAAGTACAAGACCATCAGTCCAACTCACCACACAGGTTGGAAGAATCTTATGTCTAAACTACAAATATAATAATTGTATTCACCTTCTCAGAACTCTCCAGTGACTCCTAATTCCATGTAAGACCAAGACCACACTTAGCAAGCATGAACATCTATCTTTCTGGAGGTACCTGCTGCTACTGCTTTCCTCCTTTGTCTTTGTTTACTGCTCCAAGCTTCTGTGCACGTTGGGTGGACATGCTGTATATCGTTTCCTGCTTCTCTGTGTTATCACTGCCAGGGAGGCTTTTTTCTCAACCCCCTTCTTTGCCTCTGCTTATCAAGCACTACCTTGACTATGAGATAGGGATTCAGTAGAAAGATATACAGAGCCTTAAAGGAAATACCTATAAGCCATCAAGATGCATATAAGTGCCCAGGGAAGAATTGCAATTCCTGAGATACATGTCCTTGGCCCACACCCTTGACCCATGCCTGTGTAACATGAGCAAAACATGCAAGCACAGGAAAAACTAGAGTGAAAATGTGTAGCTCCACCCTGCTTCACCTTTAGTCCAGCCCCTAGGACCAGCCCTCTATAAATATAAACACCCCACACCAATGGGGTGCTGTTTCTCCCTCTGAAGTTAACCTGCAATCTCCCTTGAGTATTTATTGCTCTACCCCAAAGGCCTCTCTCTAGATTGCCTCCACTGTCCCTTGAATGTGTATCTACCTTCCTAAATAAACCTCTGTCTATGCCTTTGACTGCAGCATGCTGAAATTCTTTTCCTTCATGCCAAGAAACCCTGCAGGCCCTGAGTCAAGTTCCCCCTCTGTCTAGGAACTCTATGGACCCTTCTTTGGAGACTGCTCTCCTGTGACAGTTCCTACCTTGCTACAGCTGAGTCCTCCCTTCTGTGTATGCCCCATCACTCTTACAGCAGAGGTTTTCAACCTTGACTGCACCTAAGAACCACCTGGGGAACACTTTCAAAAACTAGGCACCCAGGCCATACTAGACCAAGCAAATCATAATCTCTGGGGGTAGGGGCAACAAAAGATTTTCATTTCCCAGTAGATCCAAATGTGCACCCAAGGGTGACAATCACCACCCTGCACATTCTCTCACTGGCCCTGCTACACATTTTTACAAGTTTGGAGGAGAGTTGATTTCTTATTAGTTTTTGTATCCTCGGTGCCCAAAACAATACCTGGTATTTGGAAGGTATATAAGAACTAAACTGGAGATAAAAATAAGCCATCCTCAATTTTAGGAGTCTAGATAACTTACTAAATTTAAACAATTTTAGTGGGTTCCCTTTGTTTCTTTGCAGTAAATGACTCAGATGAGCTACTAAGTCACTTGGTGTTCAACAGAAGATCATTCTGTGCCTCTTTGAATTTAATACAAATAAGAATACCAACCTAGATGCCCTTCAGTAGATAAATGATAAAGAAAATGTGGTATATATACACCGTGGAATATTACTCAGCAATGAAAGAGAATGAAATCATGGCATTTACAGGTAAATAGATGAAGTTGGAGAATATAATGCTAAGTGAAATAAGCCAATCCCCAAAAAACAAATGCCGAATGTTTTCTCTGATATAAGGAGGCTGATTCATAGTGGATTGGAAGGGGAAGCATGGGAAGATTAGACAAACCGTAGATAGGGCAAAGGGAAGAAAGGGAACAAGGGGGTAAAAAAGATGGTGGAAGGAGATGGACATCGCTAAGTACAGGTATGAAGAAATGGTGTGAATATACTTTATATACAAGTAGAGAGATGAAAAATTGTGCTCTATATAGGTAATATGAATTGTAATGCATTTTGCTGTCATATATAACAAATTAGTATTAAAAAGAAAAAAATACAAATAAGAATAATAAATCAATATAGGTGTGTCTCTCTCTGAAAAAAATTAAATAGAAAAAGTCCTGACTCACAAAAGAAGTGAACCAAGGACTGATGACAATCCTTTCTACTATTAAAAAACTTCCTCAAAAATTCACTTTTTCTGAATAATCTGTTGGTATGAGCCTACAATGATCTCTCCTTTGGAAAGGAAACAAAACTCTATCACTTTACAATTGGTATTTTGTCCTACACAGTGGGTAGGCAGACTATGACCTG